CTTAGACCTACTGGTGGATGCCACATGCCTCTGTAAGTTGGATGGGTAAATTCGAATGTGAAAAAGATCAGTACTATCGGTGTGGCCTCGTAGCTCAGCTGGTAGAGCATGCGCGTACAAAGCGTAGGCGGTGTCCATGCGTGAGTTCGAACCCCACCGAGGCTACTGAACTTTTCACAATCGACATACAAACTTCAAATCTTCCAAACAACTATTTGAACGATACGGAATGTGTTCTGTGTGAGGAGTAACTGACGCTTTAACATTTAAAAAATAAAGTTTGTCACCACTATCAAGTGATATAAAAGCATTCGCCTGATAAAGGAAAATTTACCAAATGGTGACATACCCTGTATCCAAAGATAAAACTACTGGCTAAAGAAAGCGGGTAACAGCTTTCAGTGAGTAAAAAGAAGAATTGAGAGTGAACTGCCAGAGAGTGACGAGCATCAGACAAATGAGGTGATCGTGCTTTAGATATTATATTTTCAATATTTTCAATGGTATTGTTGCAAATGAAGTGTCTTCATTGGGGATGAATTTTTTCGAGCAGATCTCACAGTCAAAGTCAAAGTTTTATTATGGGAATTACTTACAAGCTGGTGCTTCTCTTGTTCCATAGGATATATACACAGAGGAATCGTTACACATCGTAAAAGGAGTCACATAGAGTTCCGGGTAGGAGATAATAGAGAACGTAGGCTACAGTGAATTTTCATTACCGTGTTCCAGATTTTGGTATAATCTGCAAACAGTATTGTTTTTGAGCCTAACACTTTCGGTGGATCATTAACGAAAGCGAGGAATAGACGGGGACCGAGTACGGACCCTTGTGGAACACCGCGGGTGGCTTTGATAGGTCCGGATACAGAATCAGAAACACGAACTGGTATGGTTCGTTGTTCGAGGAATGCTTTGATCCACTCAAATGCGAAATCACGAACGCCATAATTATAGAGCTTCTGCAGCAAAATTTTGTAATTCACTCGATCACATGCTTTCGCGAAGTCGAGATAAATAACATCCACCTCATCCCCTTCGTCCACTGTACTAGTCCATTCGTCTGGAACAAGAAGCAGGTTGGTGGTGGAGAATCACTTTAGCCTAAACCTGTGCTGAGCTGTCGAGAGAATGCTGTATCTTTCGAGGTGTTCCATCAGAGAATCGGCCACAATTGACTCCACGACCTTTGATAACACCAGAAGCAGGGTTACAGGTCTGTAGTTAGAGGGGTCACTACGACAACCACTTTTGTATATGGGCGAAATGACTCCTTGTTTCCACGATTCGGGGAATGTTGCTTGGTCGACCATTTGTTGAAACAGAATGGCTAGCGGTTCGAATATGTGATTTGCCAAAAAGATCAGAGATTTCGGGTGTATGTTGTCCGCACCTGGAGTAGAATTTTTTCGCCCAGCCATTATTTTTGCCTTGAAGTTTTCAGCAGTAAATGATACGTAGGTCAGTGAANGAAGGATGTGGAAGATGATGCAACCGTTGGGGTAGTTGTAAACCTTCAACCTGCGGTGCTGCGAATAATGAATGAATTTTCAGCATTTCCGCTGCTTCCGTTGGCGTGGCTGCAACTATTCCTGCGCTACTTGGTACCGGTATACCAAACTTTATTGACAAAATATTGAAAATCGGTTTTCGTAGCTCGGGTGAACTGAACGAACCAAACTTTACATTCCGAATGGAGTTGACGTGTTGGTACAACAGCTTAGGGTTAGAAATGACTTTTCGTGCTAGGACCTCTTGGTATTTCACTTTATCCTCACGAATCACCCTGGTACAGTGGTTCAATATTATTACTGCTGCCCAAAGCCGTTTTTCCTGCCCAGACCGTGCGTTTAGTCTAGATTCACAGGACCNACTTAGCTTATTTGTCCTATCTTACGCGTCGTTTTCCTGCAGTTAGCTGTGTATTGTTCACCGAGTCCTTAAGCGCAATTCAAATTTCGTCCTACGTTATATCTGTTATCGTTCCCATAACAGCATTCGGAAGATGATTATTATCTCGCCAGGCTCAATCCTTCGCCGATAGCCATTTCCTTGTGCGGTTTCGAATAGGTGAATTTCGGATGCCGGATTTGGTGATTACTTTAGTTTTAGTCACGGATGTTATTATATTTGTGAGATTATCAATAAATTTCTTCCATGCGATCAGCGGATTAGCTTCTTCGTCATAAGAAACCCACTGAGCAGAGAGCGCCAAGTTACTCAACAGTGTGTAGTCTAT